ATATATATATATATATATATATATATATATATATATATATATATATATAAAGAAGAGTCCAAGCAAGATTCCTTTAGATCCGAAAAAAAAGTCTTGAGGGGCTGTTTACTCAAATGTTTATTCGGTAAATGCTTATCAATAGGAGTCGACACTATAATTTGTTTAGATGCGTAAGATTTTAGTACATCAAACCATATAGAATGCAACAATTTACTAGGTAAACGCTTACCTGGGTAATAGTCGTCATCATCACTTACCGGGTAAGACTCTTTATCATTCTCATCGCTCTTATCCGGTAAGATTCATGGCTCTTTTCATGTTCATCCGAAGAGGAAATTTATGCGTTAAACAAGTGTTTAGTAAATGGCCCCTTAAAAATGTTGATTCCAATCCATCAAGGAATATAAAAATGTGATATAAGCACAAATTAGCAACTTTATCTTATATCTTCTTCATACGACTACTGTCTTTAACTTGTTACTAAAAGACCAGTTGTAGAATGGAATATGGATCGCTTGGGCACTTCTATGGTTTGTGAAAAAATAATTCGGCTACAACTGAAGTTAAGCTCAATACAATAAAATGGGTCTTTTAAGGCGCATAACCATCATTGGGATAGAGTATAACGAGAATTTAAGCATGGACGGACCTAGAGTAGGGCATATGGTGGCACGTGCCACTGTATTATTCCTCCATCGAAGGGTAAAAAAATTTAGGTTCGTGAAAGGTGCAACCGTATTAATTTGTTTGTGTCATCGTATGTATTTTGAAACTACAATGAGAACAAGTTTTATTTTGTAAAGTTGGTTTGCAAGATTTTTATTCCACCCCAAACTCAAATTGAATCCTATTATTGTCATTTTCTTAGTCAAATGGTGTCACTATTTGGAAAAAAAAACTCTGTACATTTGTTTCTTATAGTCAAATGGTGCCATCGTTTGAAAAAATTTCTGGGTCCGTCCATGAATTTAAGTTTATAGAAACATATATAATTGTGTGCCATATACAATGACATTACAATGTGTTGAAAAGAATGATACA